CCGTCCGTATATTTAAAGTCCATCCTTGCTGAAACATCCCAAGCAGGTCAGTGGCGTCCTTCGAACGGGCGTTACCAGGGAATGTGAACATCCTACATTTCCTGTGCTTTACGGGCAAACCCATCACTACACGACATGCCTGCAGCAACTTTCAGGCTACAACCAAAAAATTAGCAAGTAAACATAGGTAAATGTCGAGATTTTTGTACAGTCCATTGTCACGCAAGGTACTTGGCATCTATCTGCCTTACATGTTGAAACAATCCGAATCGTTTTTAATAGTTAAATTAAATTGAATTATTGTATTTGTTCCAGCCAGAAAACTAAAAAAATAACTTAAGTTTAACATTGTTTTGTTCAATTCCCTCCTTATGATACTAAACTGAAACTTGACTATTAATATATTATTCTCGAAGCAATATTTTCAAACGTCTAAGCTGTTGATTGTTACCATGTTTAAAGATTAGTCTATATATATATATAATTTTTAAGTCTCTGCCTTAATATAAGCCATCTTTTTTCTATCGGTAAAATATTGAGTAATTATATTCCCTTCTTTATAAAATTATAATAGCAGAATAAGACATGGGTTTTTCTCATTTTGTTTTTGAATCCATTATTATTACCGACCATATACTTAACATTAAATAAGAAATTATTAATGAAGTGGTACGAATTTAAAATGTACAAGACATTTTATTTGAAAATGTAATAAAGATGTGTAGTTTCAGATAAATTATTGATAGACTGAGTAAGTATAGATCGATTTTCTATCATCGTATGTGTCTACTGTTCCGCAATTATTGTGATACTCTTCAATGCTTAATCATTTGTGGCAGATGTTTCGCAGACAGTGGAATATCATTGAGTAATATTACGAAATTATATTTATTATGCTACAATGATATATTAAGTTAGCCTATTAGTTACATGCTATTTTAATTACCTGAAAGCCAAGATTTTTAATTTTTACATTAATTCATTTACATTAATTAGGCTTTATTTATGTTAATAATAGATTGTTTAATTTACTTAACACACATCTAAAACTATTGTAAATATGATTTTTATAGGAGAAAATTTAGTTAAATTAATTTTGATTGATAATTTTCAGAGATCCTATTAAAATGACTTCATTGTATAATAATAAAACATAAATATGAACTTTCAAACATTTTAAATTTACATAAAAAATTTAATCTGCATAAGCTTTTTGATGCTGTTTATAACAATTTATTGATAATATGGAAGAATCCAATTATCAAAGGTCATAGGAAGGGTAAAGATAATTTAAGATGTTACAAAAAGTCGGTTTTATTTAGCTGAAAATGAAAAAAGAACAACTTAATGAAAAAGAACAAAATTAAAGAGCTACTTTACAATAATTAGAATGTTTTGCGATGAGATTGACAACTTCACAAATTAATAACATACAAGTTATACGCTGGTTGCTATGGAATGATTGTTAAGTTAGTAGCGTTTAGAAAGATTATCTTTTATATTAATTTAATTTTTTTTTTTTGTTATGGAGAGGAAGAGATCGAGCTGAAGATCTGTTGGAACTAATATTGATGCGAATGCGTTATAATTATTACTTGATTCGTATGTTACTCTGGAGTGCAATAAACTTCCATAAAAATTGATTAAACGTAAGCTATGAATAATGTTCAGTGAATAATTTTAGAACATAATCTATTAAAAATGGAAAGTAACGGATCTGTCCAACGTGTGGATCGATAATATTCGAACAAATGTGCGACCGAGTTTGAATGTTGTGCCATAGTTAATCATATTTCGATGAAATTTTTCAAATTTATATTGGAAATATTGTAACTCTGATTTAATTTATCCTTTTCTCTTACAAATATTGAATTCAATTAAAAAAAAAAGCTCATAATTTTCATTCTTTTTAAAATGATGACTGAATAATTACCAACGTAAATCTTTATGATGATTTTATTGTAAAGCATTGTAACTCATTATTAATAAATCAATATATATATATATTGAAGTTATAGTTCTTAGCTGGACATTTTAAATAGCATGTTTATAGCACGCTATTTAAGGATTCCTTCTCTATTTGAGGATTTAATAGCGTGTTTATAACATGCTATAATTAAAGGAATCAGAAAAAATTGACAGTAGAAACTTTTGTTGCTAATTTGCTTTTGATATAATTGATAGAAATATAAAATATCTTCTAATTTTTAATTAAACTGAAATTAATTTTAAGTTCAAATTATTTATAATTTGAAAATCAGTCTTCAGAAAACTCAAACGAAAAAAATAAAATTCTAAAAAGCATGTCACAAGTTTATATTATAAAGTCATTTATTTTTCAGTAAATAATAGCCTAATAGGTGATTGTTTTATGAATCATTTTTAAACTTATCTATTTCATTTTGTATATTGTCACATATATATTCGATTTAAAATATTACTTTTATTTCTGTCGAAGATGACATAGTTTAAAAATACCAGAGTTAAAGACAATTTGTTTTTCTTGTATTATATATTATTTTATTTCATTGCACTTTAATCAGATTTCATTTGAATACCGACAGTTTGTTGAGTTAAAAAAATTAATGAGTTAACAAAAAATATAATAACCCGCATTAAAGCTTAATCTATTAAAAAAATATATTAAGAATGATAAAATATTTCATAGGTTTTTTTTAATTGGATTATTTAAAGTTTAATGCACTTCAGTAAGGTTTTTTTTTGTTGCTAGTGACGGTAAAATAATTTAAAAAGCTGTCTTTTTAGCTGTGATTTATTTATTGTTATGTTGCATGTCTAGGAGAATTGATATAGTATGATAACCTTTCATTTACGACAAGTTAAATCTAGATAGACAAATCAATAGTTTGTAGAATTAACTGAGAATAAACTAGTTTAAATGCTTTGTTAGAATAAATCTTATTTAGGTTTCTGATTGGCTGTAGACCAATAATTTTCGTAATTTTTTTTCCAAATATTTAAAATGTCTTGTTTTATAAATAAACATAAATAAATAAATGCTACTTTTGTGACATAATTTTATGTTAATTAATATATTTTAACATTTCAATTTATATCGGATATATTCTGAATAGATATAATTTTAAAAAGTAATTTCCTTTTAATTTGCGTTTTCTATTTAATACATAAATATTTAAATAATTAATCAAGTGTATTAAAATATCAGCAATGGAAGAATATCCCAATTACAGAGGATATTAATAGAAGTAGAATGTATACAGATCTCGTGTTAGAAGGAAATCTGCCATGAATATTAGAAAATTACTTGACCCTTATTGCACTTCATTCCTTCACTCATTGGGTCGTAATACCCATCCTAATGCACGGGAAAACTGGAACATATTTCTGCAGCGAGACCACCTTTTCATATATATAACACGAAATAATAATTATTTTAATCATAAAAATTGTCTTGTTGAATTTGTTAATTTTGTATTAAATATATAAAGTTGTAATTAATAAAGCAGGGTTTTTTTGTTTGTTTTTTCATGCTTATTTTCATTACGTCATTGGAAGTGTATAATTTGAAAATTTAATTATATATATTAAAAAAAAATTAGAAAATTACATGATACAAAGAATTAGAAAAATAATTCGTGATTCTTACATTAAGTATTTTATTGCGTTCGTGTAGATTGAAGAATAAGTTGAATATCTTTTGTTGTATGACTTGAATTTTTGATTGTTTAATTGTTCTCTTCTAATTATTAGCATAAACAATATAAAACGTTTGAATTCATTTATTGAAAATGCTTCCATATGTAATTTGTCCATTCTTGTTATAAAATAAATGAAAAAATTTATGACGACCGAAGTAATTTAATTCTTTACTCTTAAAAGCGAATCAATTGTCAACAGTACGAATATTGTGTTTTCACAATGAGTACTTTTTAAAAACTGTTAGAGTTCACAGATTTAAACTAAGAGTTCATTGTTGATCCACTTCTACTATTTATAGAAAGTGATTTTCTAGCTGATGTGTATATAATAACAGTAGTAATTTTAAAAAGATTTGGTTTTGTCAAAGCAGTTTCGTTATTAATCCTATAACTCTACAAATATACGAGTGTGTCCATAGAGATTATACCAGCCTATTGTAAAATATTTAGGCTTGTGTGAATGGTTATTTGAAAATGAATAAGGATTTGTGGCGGTTAACCCCTCAGTAGCATCGTCAATCAAATCGAATTGAACTCAACACTAATCTACGGTTTATTTTCCCTATCTCGGGTGGCCGAGCGTCGTAATCGATGCTAGTTTGCGTCATAAGGTCGCTGACCTTAATGCCCACCTCTTTCCATCGTAATTACTGCGGCCGGCACGCTACCACTTCTCCAGTTTTCGTAGGAAGGAAGGATTGTTTTCGAGTGTCCTGAATTATTTAACATTGACTGTCGTTTCTGGTCGATACGACTCTTTCGTCTGCCTGAATGGATATCATATGTTGTCATTACGTTAAGTGACACCTAAATATACCTCCATGATAGCGACTAATTGTACGGCATTGTCTTGATTAGTGACGGAACGGTCATTAAATTCGGTTGTGTAGTCAATTAGGAAAGAACTGCGTTAGATCCTCCTTATGAATGGAAATTACTACGATATGGATAATAGCTTATTTTTCACTTATACAAATGTTAGTTCGATAAAGCTATTAATTCTAATAAAAAATAAGTTTTAGAATTTATAGTGAATTTTGACGTTACCGCAGATTTTAGTGTTTACTTTTTATATATAAATTTAAATATAATACTTGAATTATTTATATCGTGAGGAAAGTTTTTNGTTTACATAAAGTTTTTAGAATATTTTTTTTTATATGAAAATGCTATTCAATTATTCCACATACAGATAATAAAATGTACTTGAGTATAAAACATGTTTTAAAAAAGATATGAATGATGTCAGTTTAGTTTATAGATAACAATAATTTCTATAATATTTATATATGTTTCATTTTTTTAAATTATGTTTTATAGAACATGAAAAACAGCGTGTTATTATTCACGTGAAAGATGTCAACGATGAGAGTCCTTATTTTATAAATAGACCTCTACCTATGCAAGCTGTAGTACAATTAAATGCACCTCCAGGTACTCCTGTTTTCAAATTACAAGCTAGGGATCCTGACCAAGATCATGATATACATTATTACTTAGTTCGAGATCGAAGTAAGTTTTTTTTTATTTTAATATAATAGTACTATTGATACTTATCTGTGTTTTAAAAGAAAGCTCTGTTCTTAGTTCCAGATTTTCACAGCAATATCAAATTACAAATAATTCTTTGAAATAAAATATTTTTTCTAGTTAATTTTTGAATAATTTTAAGCATCCATAATTTGCAATTGATGTCAGATATAATGGTTTAATTTAATTTAAGCATAATTAATATTATTTTTGATAGTTTTTCTATTAATATAATTTTCATTTAATATTAGTTATAATCTTCCATTGAAATCTTTCAATGATATAAATGAAATTTAATCACTGATAGTTTTAGTTAGCGAAAACATCAAATCGATTTTAGAAAATCTAAATACAGAACATGACAAAATTCACGTAGAAATTTTTCCTTGCACTTAATAATTACTATATTTTATAAATGAAACTTTCATTAATAATTTAAATTGGTAAAATATAATAAAGGCCTTTTAATGAAGATAAAATTTTGTATCGGATTGTCTTTCATATAATGAACAGTTTTATTAGAACGATTTTTGTTCTAGTTTTGTTCTTTCTTTCGTAACTTAAAAGTCCTCTTAATGCATTATTCACTTTTGTGAGCCCGATGTCTACCGAAAACTTGTTTACATTTTAGAACGCCCTTATATATGTTCGACCCATTGCAGTAATCTGACAGGAGGTCATGACAATGTCAGCCATTTTTCTTTGCTTATTTTTCACGCGTAGAATTTTTCTTGCACGATAAACTGCGTTACTTAAGATTTGATAATATTTCGAAAATCTTTATCTTGTTTTGATTGGCGTTAGGGAGGGTTGTATTCGAAATAGTTCGGATATCTGATATTCGGTCAACGCCCGTACTCTCGAGAAAAGGTCGTGTTCTTCGTTTATGACCTTGCATCTTTCGCGGCACTGGCGTGGACCGATTTGAAGGTTTTGTAGATGTAGAGTAGCTGTTTAATAAAGCAAAATTCAAGTTTATAAGACTCTTAATTACATTAGTGTTGATGACAAATGAGGCTAGTATAAAAGGCTCAGATTGAGCTGGGGAACATCAATTAATGTCTCACCACGCTTGTCTTCCTTCATTTGTGAATGAAACGGCTCGCGGGGCGTACTTCCTTCCAAACACCAACCTGGTGGGATAATTCAATCTTCAGATATATATTTCAGACGACTTCTTTTGGGTGTCGCATTATCCGTACGTCCGGCAGTTTCCAATCGCTAATCCATCATTGTATCTCTTTTTTAACCCTGAGACTTTGGGGTTTACGACGTCCAGGTCGGGACCTTATCTCGACCGTTAGACCGATTTACGGTCACCGGGTATCCGGTAATGGAAAGACTTGTCGCCGCACATCTTTCTCTTCACGCGTGTCACCGGGGCCATCGATCCAGTGGCGCTTTCCTGCTTCCTTCCCATTAAGTGGAATTTAAAGTACAGCAGCTGTGTATAGTTAACCCTGAGCTTATATTTGCTACTCTTAACCCAAACGGTGACATCCTATCGACGACTTTAGTCGAAATTTGAACTGATTTGATCCGACGTCTATAAGGTCGAAGCGACGATTTGGACGTTTGCCAACGTCAGCTGGAAACGTCCAAAACGTCAAGACAGGAAACGGTCAAGTTCGCGTCATAAATTGCAATCTGCCACATTGACGACCTCAGATCAGTTTACGTTTGAAGAGAACGTGATAAGAATTCTTATCGGAAGAGATGGCCTCTCTAAAGGACGACTTCGTTATGGTATTGAAAAAAAAAAGTTCTCCTCCCCGTTTTGTTATCGACAGTTGTTCCGTCAACTTTTTGCATCTTCGATGCCTTTTTTCTTTTTTTTTTTTAATGATGTCGCCATTCGTCACTAAGATACAATGATATGGCATCATTCTAAGATAGAGGTCAGTGACATTATACAACGAAAATACTATCTTCTGTGTTTGTTTACATAAAGTTTTTAGAATATTTTTTTTTATATGAAAATGCTATTCAATTATTCCACATACAGATAATAAAATGTACTTGAGTATAAAACATGTTTTAAAAAAGATATGAATGATGTCAGTTTAGTTTATAGATAACAATAATTTCTATAATATTTATATATGTTTCATTTTTTTAAATTATGTTTTATAGAACATGAAAAACAGCGTGTTATTATTCACGTGAAAGATGTCAACGATGAGAGTCCTTATTTTATAAATAGACCTCTACCTATGCAAGCTGTAGTACAATTAAATGCACCTCCAGGTACTCCTGTTTTCAAATTACAAGCTAGGGATCCTGACCAAGATCATGATATACATTATTACTTAGTTCGAGATCGAAGTAAGTTTTTTTTTATTTTAATATAATAGTACTATTGATACTTATCTGTGTTTTAAAAGAAAGCTCTGTTCTTAGTTCCAGATTTTCACAGCAATATCAAATTACAAATAATTCTTTGAAATAAAATATTTTTTCTAGTTAATTTTTGAATAATTTTAAGCATCCATAATTTGCAATTGATGTCAGATATAATGGTTTAATTTAATTTAAGCATAATTAATATTATTTTTTAAGATTAATATATGTAATAACAAATATATTTTTTTTTTTTGTTGTAGAATAAAGATAATGTTTATATTCAGTTAAACTTGAACATAATCTATCCTTTATTTTTGGAATATATCCAATATTATTTTAGCTTTTGTTGTCATTTCTAATCATATTATTTTTAGTATACTGAAACATTTAATCTTTATATCTTATAAAAATATAATAGGATAGGATAATTAAAAATTAAATATATAATTTTACAGCTGGTGGCAGATTTGAAGTTGATGAAAGATCTGGAGAAGTACGAACATTAGGAAGTGATCCTTTCATGTTGGATAAAGAATATGTATTGTATGTAAAAGCTGAAGATCAAAATGGACAAATGGAAAGTGGTAGTAGCACTTTGCAGTATCAATCGACTGGAGAGAAAAGGTTATCTATAATGGGAGGGAAAAGACCACCTCAGTTCTATATGTCAAAATATGAAGTAACCATTCCTGAAAATCAAAAGAAAGATTCTGAGTAGGCATTTATTTTGCTTCAGTTCATATTATTATTATTATTATTTTTTTTTGCTGATAGTTAAACATTTTTTTAAAGAATAAGTATCTTTAAAAAAAGCTGAAATACAAATGATTTCAGAATAGTCATTCAAAAGTCTTAATTATAGCAAAATAAAATTAATTCACATATTACATTTTTAATTATTTAATTTAAGAAATAGTAATGTCATACATAATAACTTGTCAACATTTGTAATTCTAACAGTATTATTGAAGTGAAAGCAAAATCATTTGCTGATAGAGAGATTAGATATACATTAAGAGCTCAAGGTAAAGGTGCTGGAACTTTCAATATTGGTCCTACAACGGGAGAAGTAAAATTAGCAAAGGATTTGGATTATGAGGATTTACGACAACCAAAGTCATATTCTCTTATTGTTACTGCAACTGAAGATTCTGGCGGATTTTCCACATCTGTTGAGGTAATTTGTTATTTATAAATCCTATTTATTTAACAATTATAAATTATACTTCTAATAATTGCAATATATATGTTAAAATTTATTATTTATGATTTTAATTTTATTATGATTTTTCTTCCTAATAAATTGTGATAATATATATTGTATGTTTGTTTATAATATTAAAAGAATATAATATTGTAAATATAAATCTTTAAAAATAATGCCTTAATCTCATGAATAACATATAAATGAAAAAATTTAAATTATTATATGATTTTAAATGTTGAATTATAAATTTTTATTAATTTTTTTTGGTTGTATTTTATAAGAAGGTTTTATATTTTTTGGCTTTAAATGCTACTGTAATGAATCATTTTCCTTATCTTTTTAAAGTGGATATAAAAATTTAGTAAATGAAATAAATATGATTCTACAGTATATCGTAATACTTGTTGCAATAATCTACTGGTATTAGATGTTTCAATGTTGTTACATCCAAGATTTTTAATTTTTGTTAGAATTTATTAGTACTGTATATCAAGTATGTTGTTTTATTGTATTTAACATTATAAAACAGCAAAGATAATTTCTTAATCTGAATACTGTTAAATCATTATACAACAAAAATCTTTCTTTTTGGTTTTTTTTGAACAATGTGTTGTGTAATCAATACAAATTCTTAATGTATTTCTTTCTATTTTTTTGTTGTCTTTTGTCATTCTAAATTTATCTACATAAATAATTTTTAATGTTTTGGAATGAAAGAAATAATATACATTTTTCTTAAAGCTCAGTTTTGGATTTTGTTTGTTATTTAGGATAGTTTTTAGAATAGTTATTTTAATAAATATTTAATAGAAATCTGAAAAATTATCTTATAGTTGTCTGCAATTTTATTAAAGATATTTAACAATTACAAAACATACTGATCATAAAATTATAAACTTGGTAATGGTAAAAAATATTATGTAATTTTAGAAAATTTCCAACTTTTTTAAAATAACTTTTATAGTAATGATTTTAAATATGAGATTTCTTAAATTGTTTTTGATCTGTTTTACAATATATTTACAAGAATGTAGTGAAATAAACCAAATCTATGCTTTTTAAACTTAAAAAAAAAAAAACTGTTTATTAATATACATATATAGAACAGTTTATATTGTATTGTTTTATATAATATATGGAATTAATGATAATTTGGATGGAGAAAGGTTCTTCCAGTAGACCACACAGTCTGGAGGCTAGTTCTGTTCTTTTTTAATGCTGCACAATAACATCATTTAGCAGTAGATGTTTAATAACAGATTTTTAATTACTATGCTCTATTTTATGTTGTCCAGATTAACCAAAGAACATGTAATCTGAAAAGAACATGCTTTTTGAACTTGAAAACTAAACCCAAAAAAGTAAAATTCATACTTGAATCTCAATAATATTTTGTAGTTCACAAACCCATAGCAGACTTGTACTGTTTACCAAAAGATGCTTTTGACCAGTGATGATTTTTGCATTTTCATCATAAAAGTTGCTATTTTGAAAATATAAAGTGCTCCCTTTTCATTTTTTCAATTTTGCTATATTAGACGAATGTAAGGTAAAACTATGACTGACTAGGGACCTGCCAATGTGCCCCAGTCAAGAATTAAAAGAATCAATTTCAAAGGCTTACCATTACCAGAAGTGTTCACTCGCCCTCCTGGTAGGCTCCTTGTTTAAAGTATTAATCCCAAAAATATATTTTTAGATAAGTCATTCTTAACATTATGAATAAATAAATATATAAATTTATATTAAAAAGTTAGTTAAAAATTGATTTATTCAGTAAAATTAATTAATGGGAAAAAAAGTTTAAAAGTAAATCTAATTTTAATAAGATTTCATTTTATTAAAGAACAAATGATTATTGTCTGTGTTATAAAAATTATCAGGATTTATTTTGTTTTCTTTTTCCTAAAAATTGTTCAAAAGATATCTAAATAAATTTTTAAAAGCCTGTCTTGATTTTAAAAATTTAATATTAGTTACCAAAAACAACTAATTTTTATTAATAAACAATGAGTAATTAATAATTTTTTTTTTTTTACATAAATTAGTATAATTATGTTATTCATTTTGTTGATTATTTTTATTTTGAAGATTCATAATATAATTTTAGTTTCTCATTCTAAATAATGTAAAGATTGTAATGTCGTAATATATAACCTTTAACAGAAACAATATTTTATTAAATTTTATAGTTTGTTTTTAAATATAAGGTACAGTACATGTTCAATTACTAGAAACTCAGATATTTAGTAAATAAAATTTGAAATATTCATATAATAATTTAGCAGATTTAATATTATTTCTATGATTAATTATTTGCAGTCTAATAGTTGTTTCAATGATTATAAAATTAATTTTTAAATAGATTGTAATGTCAATAATCTAAATAAGCTTCTTTTTGATGTTTCCAGTAATATGAATTAAATGTTATATTTTATAATAAAAGAAATTTTTAAATGATTCTGCTTCTGTATGTATATTTCAAATATAAATTCTTTCATTATCAAGTATTTTGTTGATGCTTGATGATTTTTATTTATTTAAACTAGTCAGAACCTGTTAAATATTCAGTTTAATCAGTATGATATGCCAATTAGTTTGGTGTCATTGTCATTAGAACTTTGAATTGCATATACACTGAATAAAATCTTAAATAATATTTATGAAAATATTTAATCTTCTTTTTCTTAACTTTATTCCTTTCAAGTGAATTTTATAAGGATTTTTGAAATTATTTCCAAAATTTGAGATCTGACTTTATTGAAAATTTAGACTTTCTCTTTGGAAGTAAGCATAAAATTGCTATGGAGAATTTATCATACAGGAACACTTTAGGAATCGTATAATTTACAATTTTTACATATTACTTTCTGAATGTCTCATTGAATACAATGTTCTTAATAGAAAGCTTACTTCCATCCAGTTTTGTGAATATTCTAATATTTAAAAGATTTCACTCTGAACAGATCCACTTGAAGTATGTTCACACATTGTCATGCCTGTACTGTACAATGATAGAAAGGAATTGATCAAACAGGCTATTATATAAGTACGATTGAGAGAGATTCACATTTAAGGTGTTAGCATAGAATGTAGTTTGTTGTAGCAATATTATTGAGAAACTGGCTGGACTTTGCATTTTTGGCCTATCTGGGCCCTTGTACCAAAAAAACTGCAAAACTAACCAACCAATATTATTGTTTATAAGAATTTTAAATTTATAAAGAATTTATACTAAATATAATAATAAATTCTTAAATATTACCATTAATTTTTGAAGTGATACTAATATAATTATCAATAAAATTTTTGTCTTAAGTAAAGATTTTCAGTTATATATATTTATTTTTAATAACTGTCACATGCCAGTTTGATTGATATGCAATAAACTGTTCATTCTTGTAAAAGTTATGACTTAAAAGACAAATAAAGTTAGGAATATGAAATTAGTGAACATTTTAAAAATATAACATTAACTTGTTTTTTATTTAATATATTTATCTAATTATGTTTTATAATTTCTTTCCTGTTTAAGATTAGAGATATTTAAATGAGGTATCTTAATAAGATTATCTTTATACTTCATAATTGTTTAGTAAATACTTGTTATGTACATAAGTACTTCTTCAAGTAAATAATTATTAGTCATATATATATAATATATTTATGACTAATAATTATAATATATATTTTTATATTTTTTTAAATAGAAATTTGCTTTATTAAATTAGCTTTTGTTGTTTTTATTTAATGTTTAATTTTTATTACAAGTACTTATTTTCTACTTTCATTATAATCTTATTCTTCTACAGATTGACTAATTAAATTATTATTGCTTATATTGTTAGAAATAAAGATTTTGATTTAACTGTTTTCTGAAATTTAATGAACAAATTAAATTTAAAAGTATTTTCTGATACATTAATAATTATTTTGATAGATTTATTAATTATAAATTTGATCAATTAGTACCAGACAGACAATTTAGAAAACATTATTTGAGACATCTTTTTACAAATACTTTATATAATTAATCTATTTTAAAATTAAATTTTTAACTAAAAGGCTTTTGTTGTTTTAATTATGAAATTATTTAAATATCATAATTAATATAGCATTACATTTATGTTAGCCTTTCCATTTTACAAATACAATTTTAAGCTATTACATTCAACTATTAAATGTTTTTATGTTAATATTTGATAACTCTGAAATTGTGAATATCAGAGATTAACAAATATTTATAATCAGCAGATATTTTTTTGATTAATATTATTCATAAACATTTAAAATATAGTATGAACTAGAAATATTCTATTTAATTAAAATTATTTATAGTTTTCATTTTGGAATTTTTTTATTATTATTTTAAATTTATAGAGATTGTTTGAAATTACCTTTTTACTGCTTCACATTAAAATTTTGAATTTTATTTTAAAAGTTATATACAATATGTTTGGTTTAAATTCTAGCAATTATTTGGAACATTGTTAAAGTGAATTGTTCTTGACATTTATTCTAATAACTTCAAAAAATATTTTAAATATAATCATACAAAACTAATTTTATTCTGCTCCTAATATAGCATTTTTTGATTTAATTTAGTTTTTCTTTTAGACTAGTTTAGAAAATGTTTATAAATTTTTTTAAATATCTTATTTGAAAATAATCTAGTTCATTATTTTACTGATTGGTCTGTTTCATTCTTTATTGTTGAAAGGGAAATTGAATTTAAAATTTTTTTATTATGGCAGATATTATGTTAATGTTTTAATATTTAAATTCTTGTGATTTCGAATATTGATTCTATAATGAGACTAAAAGTCAAATAAGAGTAATGATGGTAAATGGATATAAAATTGATTAAATGATTAGTGCCAGGTAAATCATCATATAATTTATCTAGTACTAATCACTTGATCAAATTTTATAATATAGTCTATATTAAACAAGTAATGCATTTTCATATA